TCCATGTTCAGAAGAGCAAGCTCGTCCAGATACTGCTCGATCCGGAGATGCTGATACATAAACCTTACACCCTTAACCCTAAATAGTAATAATTAATACTTATAGTAATAGTAATTATAGGAATAATAAAAATAAAACATAAAAACAAATAATAACAATAACAGCAATACTAAGAATAACAATACTAATACTAGTAAGCACCGAGCCCAGATTTGGCGGGCGATGTTCCTGGCCTACGGTTTCCGGCATCGCTTCAGCCCCTCCTTGCGGCTTGGCGACTCGTGTGGTAACTTTCCGAACATTGGGGTGGTTTAGGGTTCAGGGTTTAGGCGTTTAGGGTTTTAGGGGTTTAGGGCTTTCCGAAAATTAGGGTAAGAAACCCGGGGCCTCTATTAGGGTTTAGGGTTCCTTTAAGGGTACTATGGGTTCAGGGTTTTGGGGTTTAGGGTTTAGGGTTTGAAAATTAGGTCTTTTGGGGTCCTTATAATAAGGATCCTACTATTTTTAGGGTACTATAATCGGAGCCTAAATAATTACCAGTACTATTTTGGGGGGGCTCCTTATTATAGTTATAGTATAATGGGCCCCCAAACCCATTCTAGTTTTAAGGCTCCTGTATTAGCTGCCCAGAGGCTCCAGAACGGTTGAGGGTCTTAATGTTCAGGGTTTGGGGTTTAGGGTTTAGGGTCTGAGGGTCTGAGGGTCTAAGCCTCCTTGAGTAAGCAGCATCCCTTTGAATTACGGGCTTTAGGGTTTTATGGGGGTTCTATCGGGTCTTGATCGGCTCCTAAGTTAAGCCGCATGCCGACATGAAACGCATCCTGAACATGACTGAAGGCTGGTACTAGAATTAGAGGCTTTTGGCGCCCACTAAACCCTAAAACCTCATCCGAAAGTTTCATGCCCTGAAGTTCCCAAGAAGCCAAGCCCTGAACGGCGGCGGAAGCCACCTGCACAAATGAGGGGTGGCCAGCCCCCCCAAGAAAGCCCCTAAACCCTAAACCC